TCTTTGTTATTGTTATTTTTTAAAGACAACTTTTTTAAACTACTGCAATATTACTAATTACCGCAAATTGAGTTAAATAAATGTAGAAAACACCATTTATTAAAAATATATCGCTGTATATAATTTTTAGTTAAAAAAAAATGTTTTTTTGAAGGAAAGCCAAAAAAATAATGTGATAAAAATAAGCTAGTTTTTTTTTAAGATTAAATAAAATAAGAATAAATATAATGAAAAACATTTAATATCTAATTTAGTTATATTTTTAAATAAATTTGAAAGTTAAGTTAAACCCAAGCATTAACTTTAATTTTATTAAACTTAAATATATATTTTTATTTAATTAAATTATATATTTTTTAAATTAAAAGTAAATTATATATATTTTTTATCAGAATAAAATTATATATTTTTATTAAATTTATTTAAAAATAAATCATATTTTTTATCAGAATTAAATTATATATTTATTATGATCTTTGCTTCAAGTTTGAAGTATTAGCATTTTTCAACCAAAAAAATCATCTATACGATAAAATAAAAATAAAATATCCTGGTATAAAATAAAGATAATATAAAATAAAATTTAAATTTTTATTTATTTTTTTTTTTTTTATTATCAAAGTCAATTTTATTTTATTGCAATCAAAAAATGTATGAATATTTAAGTGTTAGCAAGATGTAAAAAAAAGTTTTTATTATATATTTCTTCTATGTTTTTTGTTTTTGTTTTGTTTTGTTTAATAGCTTCGTAAACAAAATTTTTTTTTGTTGTTAACCATAAACAATCTTGTTTTCTGTTACTAAATATTTCGATAAAATAATTAGCTTAATAGAGATTAAGCGTTCTTAGTTTTTAATTTTATCTGAATTTTTTTCATTTACATTATTTAATTGCCATTCAAACCTTTGTAACAAACATATTTACATAAATATTTTATTTTAGGTAAACCATTATGGAAAATGGTGTTAGAACAGTTTGAAGATCTTCTTGTTAGAATTTTATTACTAGCTGCCGCAATTTCATTTGTAAGAATAACTTTTTTTTTTTAAGTTTAACTGTTTTGTAATGATAACAATAAAAAATAAAAAATCATGAATTTTATGTTTGATTTTTTTATCTGCAGCTAGTTAACTTAATCTTTGTTTATTATAAAGGTTTTAGTGTAAGAATATCTATATAAGTGTAAAAATATTTGTGTAGATATTAGCGTTTTTTGAAGATGGTGAAGATCAATTGACAGCATTTGTTGAGCCTTTTGTAATACTGGTAATCCTTATATTAAATGCAGTTATGGGTGTATGGCAAGAAAGAAATGCTGAGTCTGCTATAGAAGCTCTTAAGGAATATGAACCTGATGAGGCAAAGGTAATGCGTGAAGGTGAAATTAAAGTTATCAGAGCTAAGTTTCTTGTTCCTGGCGACATAGTTCATGTTTCAGGTAGTTTTTTTATGATTTTTATTAATGGTCCATTTCTTTTTAATATTTTAATAGTTGAAATTCAATATGTGGAGTAGGATTATAACAAAAAACTTTTTTTATGAAACCACTTGCAATTGAGGAAACTTTGTGTTATTTAAGAATATAATTTCCTTTTTTGATTTTTTTTTAAAAAAAAAGTGAAAAAATATATTTTTTCAAAAATAAAGACATTTTTGTTTTAACATTATTTAAAAGAGTAATGATCATAACAAACAACTTTTATTAACAAATAAGATATAGAACAGTTCTGTACTAAGTATACAAGAACAAATAAGATATAGAACAGTTCTGTACAAAGTATACAAGAACAAATAAGATATAGAACAGTTCTGTACAAAGTATACAAGAACAAATAAGATATAGAACAGTTCTGTACAAAGTATACAAGAACAAATAAGATATAGAACAGTTCTGTACAAAGTATACAAGAACAAATAAGATATAGAACAGTTCTGTACAAAGTATACAAGAACAAATAAGATATAGAACAGTTCTGTACAAAGTATACAAGAACAAATAAGATATAGAACAGTTCTGTACAAAGTATACAAGAACAAATAAGATATAACAGTTCTGTACAAAGTATACAAGAACAAATAAGATATAGAACAGTTCTGTACAAAGTATACAAGAACAAATAAGATATAGAACAGTTCTGTACAAAGTATACAAGAACAAATAAGATATAGAACAGTTCTGTACAAAGTATACAAGAACAAATAAGATATAGAACAGTTCTGTACAAAGTATACAAGAACAAATAAGATATAGAACAGTTCTGTACAAAGTATACAAGAACAAATAAGATATAGAACAGTTCTGTACAAAGTATACAAGAACAAATAAGATATAGAACAGTTCTGTACAAAGTATACAAGAAATGTTTGAAAAATATTTTTTTATACAAACTTCAGTTTCAAAAATTCAATTTTTTTAAATTTTGCATGAAGTTCTTCCAGCACGTTCAGTAATTTAGTTAGATCTGGGAATGTCAATTAATGACTCTATTGACCAATGCGTCTTTAAGCACTTAATCGCTTTCTTTCATTTTATCTTGATGGGTGAGAGAAGGAGTTAATTGAAGGAGGTTTCATTTTAGTGTTGGGAATGGAAACAAGCATTTTCCCATTTGTAGCAGATGAAATTGCATGCTCGAGCAAGGATGCTGCACTTCTGGTATCAGAAACATATATGAGTTTTTTCTGGGAATTCCGGAATTTCACTTGAAAAATCCTTTACTTTTCCAGAAATTACCATGTTTTTTGTTATTAATTTGGAAAAAAAGTTGTATTATTATGACAATATGCTTGACATAGTTCATATAAGAACTTGAAATCATCTTGCCATTTGTTGTTCTTGCCAGTGTTAACATCATCTGTTGCAACGAGGTGGAAATCATCCTGAATAGTTTTCTGTTAGCTTGTCAATGAAGGAGTAGTTGAGTGCTGGTTTGCTCATTGGCTCTTGAATATAAAAATTAATGACGTTTCAGAAAGTCAAGTACTTGGTGCTGGCAGCCAATATGGTGTGGTTTCTGAAAGCCCTAGCTCACAACATCATCCTGTATAGGGTTTACAATCCTGTGCAAATGACAAGTATTTACTGCGGTCGTGTCACAGATTATCATAAATATTTACCCAAGCATTGTATTCATCAATAAGCTAATGTATCTCCTTGTAATGGGTGCAGCACACCCACTCTCACATTTAAGAATACTAAGTTTGATTTCAGTTATCGTATTTTTCAGCAAAGCTACTTGATACTCTTCCCCTTGCAATCTTTTACCATCAATCTGGAGACAATAGGAATTTTTGCTTTGAAGTTTTTGAGCATTTTTGGTTTTCATTTTCTGTCCTTCAGAGATTACACTTTTCCAGACACCTGCCTGATTCGTTTCCTTGGGTGAATTGGTCTTTCGTCTACTCTTAACTTGCCTCTGGTGTTTTTCCTCCATGTTTTTCCATTCTCCATAAATGTTGGTGAAATCAAATAACTGAGAGAGTGTTCCAGTGAATTTATCAGATGGTTTCTTTTTGCTTTTGTCATATAGATCATTAAGTTTCGACTATTAAGTTTCTTTCTGATAAGTGCGCTGGATAATAGTCAAGAGTAAAGAATTTTCCGCCAGAGAAATTCTTTATCTGTAATCAAAATTTTGATTTGAACCAGTTGCAGTATCTTGCCTTAAACAGAAAAGTGAAGTTTTCAAGAATTTGATGGTTTCTTGGGATCCGTGTGAGATTGATTAGCTTTTCAACAGATGGAATCCTTGGATCCCTTTTTTTGTTTAGAAGAGAAGTAGAGATTCTTCAAACGCAAATGCACCAATTTGACTTTAAACTGTTGTTGGAATTTCTATAAGACATTTTATTTTGGTTTTAAGGTGATTAAATGTCTAGCACTTTTCTTCCTCTCTGCAAGACTTGCAATTTTACACTGAGAACAAGTTTTTATCCAAAATATTTAAAAACATTTCACAATGTTTGAAAATATTTAAAAATATATACTATATATTTGCAGGCTTGGCCAGGAAGGCGTGTGATTTCACATAATATGATCACGCAATTACTATTTGGTTTTGAAAACTTGACTGCTGCTGTCAATATGTTTTAAAAATTTGTATACATTTTTAAAAATGCGCTGAAAAAATTAATCTTAACTATGAAGAAACTTAAAAGAAAACTTATCGTAAAAGAAGCAAATAAATTTTCGTAAAACAAATAACAAAACATACAGAATCATGATATTTTCAATTATGTCATTACACTTATCTATTATATCTTTAATAAAAAACAATCAATATAGTTTTCTCATAAAATCATATTTCCTCCACCATCTTTTATAACTAGTAGTGATGTACCGATAGCATATTTGTAGCTGATGCAGATACCGATGTCAATGGATGGGAAAAGGCAGATACCGATGAATTAACTAGTTAGTAAAATTTTTAAAATATAAAACCATACAACTTAAAATCGTGTAAACTTTTCCATGGAATCAGTACTGGTAAACAAATATTTGGACCTAAATCATAGCAAAACCATTGTTTTAAAAGATAATAGAAAAACTTAGTTAAAAAAAAAAATTTTTAGTTTATTTTTACTATGAAAAGAAAACTTTCAAAAAGATAAATACAACTTTTGAGGAACACTTTTTATTTCAATTTTAAAAAGAAAATGGTATCTAGTTAATGAGTTGACTTGGAATTCTTTAGTAATTTAGATAAATCAACCCTAGGAATTAGGAAAAACGAGGTCAGCAATAATTTGCCAACCACAAACACTTTATGGTTGGTAGGTAGGTCGGCATTGCCAAATGCCAACCTTAATTCAGATGGTTGGATATATTAACAACAACCATATAAAAATATAGTTATATACTTTAACATATATAGATAATAATGCTTAAATAGATTACTTCTAAGTATAACAATAGAACAATACAAAATAAAATTATTCTAAAAAAAAACAATATGGTAATAAAAGTATAAGTACATACAGTTTTTAAATTAAAGCTTATAAAAATCATCTTAAGAATAAACAAATTTGCCTGTAAACAAAGTCAAAATTAACAATTTCTTAAAAAAATTCTAAGTAATGCGTAAAGTTTAGTTTATTTATTATTTAATTATCATATTGCAGGATAAATAGAAAATTAATAGAAAAAATAGAATTAATAGAAAAAAGGCTGATGCTGATACTGATTCAGATTGTGCAAAAGGTGGACGATTAAGCCGATTAATCGGTACATCACTAATAGCTAGTAGTTAATACATTTGCATCAATCTATGACTTAAAGGATGGCAAGTTATTTTTTTTTTTGTCTGAATAACATTATTGCTTTAAAAATATTGCTGTAAAAAGTTTTTCTTTCAAGAAGTAAATCTAATCTAAAAAGCGCATTTTGGCAGGCTTGCTTTTATTTGCTTTGAATGGATTTTCAAATAATGAAAAAAAAAAAAAGTTAAAAAATAAGCATTCATCTTAACAAATAATATTTATCTGCTATTGAAAAACCAGGCAAATAATAATTTATCTGGTCTTTCAATTGTAGGATTGGAACTTCTTTTCTGCTCTCAGTTTCTACAATTTTCTTATGAATCTTATTGAGTAGTAGTTTGCAAAAAATACAAAACCATTTACTAATTACACAATTAGAATATCTTTTTACACGCTTTCATGGACCCTATCTACTGTTGTATTCATTCCTTTCAAGCCCTTTATTTTTCTAAAAAAAGTGCTCATATAAAAGAAATTGTGTAAGTATATTATTATTGTGCAGATCTAAATCCACAATATGTGGATATTTATACTAAATCCACAGTGTGTATATTTATATACTTTTTTCTAATATTTAAAATAGTTGGAGACAAAGTTCCAGCAGATATACGCATCACAAAAATCAAGTCGACTGTTATAAGAATAGATCAATCTATACTTACTGGTGAGTTTTTTGATACTAAGTTTTTTTATTTTTTTTCTTCGTTTTTTTTTTATTTGAGGCTGAGATACAACATTAAAAAAACAAAAATGATCAAAAAGTTAAAAAGCATTAATGTTTCAAATATAATCATCAAAACGGTCTTAGTTTAGTTTGAACAGTTTATTGGTGACTAGACATCATAGTCTTCTTCGAGTTTTCCGTTTCTTTACTATGTATTCTTTACTTATTTTTTAAATAATATTTATTGTATCTATTGTATTAAGAATTCAAGGGGAATAAAAATTTGTCAAACAGTAAAAGTTCGACTTATCCAGGGGCCGAATTTTTAGTCATAAGTAAAATAACTGTAAATAAGCATAGATATAAAGATTTAAATTCTTAACTATATAATAATCATGCATATAAACTCTAAATATCTAAATGAAAGAGAGTGAGACAAGCGAAAAGTTTTTATTAACTTTAGAATGAATGACCTTGCTACAACAATGACTGATGTCACTCTCTAAACTTAAAATAAATTGTAGACTTGGGAGATTGTTATTCACTTTAAAATACTTATTTCAATTAATGCATAATTTTGTGTTGATAGTGTTTGTAAAGATTTTTATTAAAGGGTAAATTACTTAGTTCAAAAAAGTTTTTTAATCTGATTGATTTTAGCGCTAAAAAAAATCAAAAAATGGTGGGGGGAGGGGCACAAGGCTCTGTCCCCCATCCTCTTAACCAAGACTGGTTAAGTTTTATGAAAATCTATAATTTAAAAAAAATTTTAAAACAGGTTCAATTTTTACAGCTGTCCACCTGAATGAATTAAACAAGTATGAAAATACGTAATTTACTGATTTCATAACCACTTGCATAACTTAAACTTTTCATTTTTTGATTTCTTAAATATCGTTTTAACCGAAAATATGTGAAAAACATGATGACATACCCTTTTAAAATGTAAGTATAAATAAAAAATAACAACAAAAAATTATTTTTTCATTTAAATCCCCCTCAAACACCCTAAACACACCATATTTTTCCTTTTTTGAAATACAATTTCTGAAAATTTTTAGTCTTGAGGAAGACTTAAAAGTCATCTGATTGACCTAAAAAAAATTTTAACAAAGTTTTAGCATATTTCCTCCAACTTTAGCTGGGTATGTACTTCGTTCAAAAATTCCCTCAAAATGACTACCCTTTTATATATATATATATATATATATATATATATATATATATATATATATATATATATATATATATATATATATATATATATATATATATATATATATATATATATATAAAGTTTAATTCTCTTGATATTCTTAATAATTGCAGTAATCATTAGTACGTAAACATAAATTAGTATATGCAGGCTTGGTCGGGAAGCGTGAGCGATCGCTCTCGATTGCTGACCACGTAAATAATATTTAGTTGCAAAAAGCTGGCCAGATTTTTTAGTCGTTTTGAGAACATTTTAAAAAGCAAAAAAAAAAAAGGCTACAAAGATTAATTGGACCAATGAGAGACAATTACAAAAAAAAATAGGCAAATAAAATATCTTTAAACGCTAAAAAATTTAAAGCTAAATAAATTACATTTAGAACAAATATTTTCGAAACATCGCTCTTTTATAATTTTTTTTATAAAATTATGCGGTGTTTTTTATAGAAACATCAACTTTTTATAGAAACATACAACCGTCAACTTAAACGATTCTTTAAAAAGGAAACAAATATTCTTTAACTAAGTTTGCAAGTTTTAGTTTTACTTAAGCTTAATTTATTTTATAAATAAAAAAGTTAATTTTTTTAATACCTATTTTATGTTTCGCGTAGTTTAAAAAGTTTAACATTGAATTACTATAAGAATTAAATTATCAAGATAGAAATCAACTAAAAAGGTTAAAAATACTTAATGACCAGGAAGCGAAACTGCTTTACAATATCGCTGATGATGTTTAGTGAGTGGGCTTTTAAATTTTAATTAGTATTTAAAGCATAAAAAAGTATAACGAGTTTTAAGAATGGCAACTTAAGCGAAAATAATTAGAGTTAGTAAACCAATATCTAGAAATTTTTCTTTATACCTAATTATTTGCTATATATATTTGTGTTCTGTCGTGACCTCAGGCGCGATGCTTGTTCATCCGCGAGTTACTTTGTATGCGTTGTTTGTGTTTAGTAACCAGAAACTTCTTATATGTTTGTTTCATAATAAGTTTTATTAATTTTAACGATTATAACTTCATTGAAAACACAATTATTTTTGTAAGTCTTTGTTTAAATCATAAAAATTGCTTTAAAAGATACATTACGATAAAAAACAAATACACAAAATTACATTTACATAAAGAATACAATCTCTTTTAAAATAAAAAATAAGAATATACTAATAAAATCTATGATTTATAATAAACTTTTAAAATTTTAACAATTTAATTAATATATATTTAAAACATATATTTACGTAAACAAATGATATATATTCTTAAAACAATGCTAAAAACGTAACAAATCGTGAATAATACAATTTCTAAAACATTTTAACAGAATACTCTAGAACTTTATTTAACTTAATCATTTTTTGAACCAATTGAATTAGTTTGTTCGTTAATTTGGCGGGTTTTTAGTGTTCGCAAATATTCTTTTTATTCTTTCGCACAAAGATGTTTTGAGAACATTCAAGTTTTTTATGTTTCCTTGTATGTCCCTAAAAGAAAAATTTTTTGTTTCGTACATAAACTTAAATGTTCTCAAAACGACTAAAAAACCTGGCCAGTTTTACACAACTAAATATTCAGAATAGTGGTCAGTATTCAAGAGCGATCGCTCCCGCTTCCCGACCAAGCCTGTATATGACAACTAACACACTTAAATAATTTGCAAAATTCATAATACTTCATGTTTGCAAAGCAATTAGAGAAACTTTCTATTTCTTTATTGTTTCAATTCTTCAGTGACTGAGTTTTGAGTTCTGGCTGGACTAAGAAAAATCTTTTGAAAAAAAATAATTACAGCTTTTGTTTTTTTAATAAAAGTATTTATTGGATTTAATGAAAAATTAATTGGATATCATTTTATAATTGTTTGAACATAAAAATTATAAAAGCAAAAAAAAAATTCACCTGTAAATTAGTAAAAAAAAAATAAAAAATAAAAGCTTAACCCTAACACTGGGGTATATAATTGTATCATCAGCAAATAGACCCACTTAGAATTCTAGTTGTCAGAAACATCATTAATATAAGAAACAACATGGGACCTAGATTTAAACCTTGTGATATACATATACCTGAGGTTACTGGAAATAAAATAAAATGTTGTCTATTAAAAATAATCCTGTGGTTGAAGAATAAAAATAATATTTTCGAAAACTATTTCTGATACTTAAATTTTATTGAAAGTTATAGTTATATTTTAATAATTAAAATATAACTAAAAAATTTTAGTTATATTTTAATTATTAATAAAAGATTATAAAGTTATTTATCAGGAAAGTTTGCTTTTTATAATTAGGAAAAAATTTGGTTTATCATTGAGAGAATTATTAATATACAGGCTTTCCCAGGAAAGGCGTGCGGTCGCACGCCTTGTTTGTCCACGCATAGAATTAATTTTTCTGACTAACTGGCCACGTTTTATTATTATGCGTTTCAAGAATTCGCGCCAAAACATAGCTAAACGAAAATACTGCAAAAATGCAAGCAACCTTAAAGTAAATAACAGAAATCTGTTTGTGCTTTAAAATTAAAAAAAGTTTACCTATATTTTATTTATTTATTTTTTTAGGGTGGTAGTTATTTTAGCTATGAAAAATCAAATCAATAAGAAAAATCAAATCAAAAAGAAAAAGAATAATGTTTAAAGAAAATAAAAAAACTTTTTAATGTAAAATTTGTTTATCAATGTTTTTTATCAGTCAGTAATACTTTAAAATTTACGATAGAACTATAAACAATTTTTAAATGTTTCGTAAATACATTTAAATGTTTAAATGTATTGATTTAAATGTTTGAATGTATTGATACACAAGAAAACACAAAAACGATTGCTATTTATTAGTAAAATATATTTGTTTGTTTTTTTTAAATGAAAGAAAATTTTATTGTCAAACGATTGAGTTGCTTATTTTGCAATCATTAATTGACATTGTGAGAGAGTTAATATATAATAATGTCCCGAAGGAACTGTTTTCGTAACAATGACAACAGAAGCAATGCAATTATTTTTTTAACTTCTTTCGTAATAACAAAATTATGCAATTGAATAATTTCAACGTAATAAAAGGCGAGCATTGACTCAGTATAATCAGTTTAAAATAAGTCGAGAAAGAACTTTTTTCACATTAAAATTTTGTTATGTTTAAAATCTAAAATTTTGTTATGTTTAAAATATATTTAATAATTAAAACAGCAATTTATTTTCTTGCCTAAGTATTGGGGAATAAAGTCATCGCCTTTGCATAAACCTTCGTAAAAACTAAATTAAATGAAAAAGTTTAACCAAATTTGTCTAGCGTAAATAATGAATCAGTTTTTTAATACATTGTCTGATAAAGTTTGTGAATAAATTACGTATCAAGTCTTTATTTTCGTGAAAATTTTATGACTTATCGTCGTCTTTTCCTTGACTTGTATCAAATTTCGTAGCTGAAAATAGCAACCCTTAGACTTCGTTTCCTTTTTTTAAATTATTTTTTATTCTCTGTGGATAATTTCCGCTTTCCCACGAAATAATGCCGCGATCACGTTTTCTGAAAAATTATATGCATGGACAAACAAGGCGTGCGACCGCACGCCTTTCCTGGGAAAGCCTGAATATATGAATCATGCATTAGTGAAGGAATATTTATTTTCACTCACCAACTCATCAATCATCAATTTAAGTTAAACAATTATACAGTCAATAATGCTTCTTTAACTTAGATCGTACTTGCTATTACTTTGGAAAAGCAAACAATATAATAATAGATACAAAATCTTTTATAAAAATGTAGCATTAAAATATCCAAATAAAAAAGAAATTTTAAACATTTAACAGCAAAGATCTTTTAAATATGTATGATAATCTTTTTTTCTTCAGGTGAAAGTGTCAGTGTTGTAAAATTTACTGAGGCAGTTCCAGATAAGCGTGCTACCAATCAAGATAAAAAAAATATGTTATTTTCAGTAAGTAATTTGCACCTTAGGTAGTATTATAAATGGTAATGGTTTTTATTAAAAAATTTTAATCCTTTAGGGTACAAATGTTGCAAGTGGAAACTGTGTTGGAGTTGTGGTTGGGACTGGTGTTAACACAGAAATTGGTAACATTTTGTCTAAACCTTTTTTTTTTATTTTAATATTTGCTAACATTGTTTAACCCATTTGATTTTTTCAGGAAAAATTCGAGACAACCTTGCCGAGTCTAGTAATGAAAGAACACCTCTCCAAGATAAGCTTGATGAGTTTGGGGAACAACTTTCTAAGGTTATAATTATTGTTTATAATATCCATGGCTTAATTATTTATATAAATAGCATAATTGAATAATAAGGGGTGTTTATTAAAAATCTGTGAAAATTATAAATTGTCGTTTTTTTAAGTTTTTTCATTTTTTTAAGTTTTCAAGTTACAAATTAAACAAAATATCAAAATATAATAGATTTTTATTATTTTATTAGTTTCAATGTTTAATTAGTTTCTTAGTTCTGATTTTTAGTTAAGTTCTGATTTTTCCTATTTAAAGCTAAGCCTTTGACGAGACAAGTATTTATATATATTTTTTCCTATTTGAAGATGACTTGACTAAGCCGTTGACGAGGCAAGTATTTATATTATTTACTTCCTATTATAAGATGACTTAGCTAAGCCTTTGACGAGGCAAGTATTTATATTATTTACTTCCTAATTGAAGATGACTTAGCTAAGCCTTTGACGAGACAAGTATTTATTTTATTACAAGGTTGTTTCAGATTTTTTTGTATGCTAGTTTTTTCGCATAGAAATTTACACTTCAAACTTGTACTCTAAAAATCCTTAGTAACATTCTGGTATATTTGGCTTTGCCTACATAATTTATCAGATTCTCTTCAAAGAATGATATCACTATTTTAACATAATGCAATGAAGCCAATATAGTTATTAATCATCATTATGATACTCTTTGATAAGACACTAGTTGTTTCTTGACGCAATGCTCTGAGTAAATAATTTGGCTAAATGCAAGACTGCTGAGGACAGTACAGTTTTGACAATCTTTATTCAGACTTTCACAAGAAGACTTGAAATCAAATGTCTTTATATGGCCACGCAGAGAATAATGTCTTAACGGTTTGACCACGGTTTTTAATATATTTTCAAAATTTAAAAATGCACTAAAAAAACTTACCTAAACTTATCTAAAAAAAAAAAATTGTAAAAAGAAAAAAAATCTTAACGAAAAATAAAATAAAAAAATACTTAGTTAAAGTAAAAACACAAAAAAATAAATATATATATAATGCAACTAAAACAAAACTTATCAAACTAAAATGCTTAGTCTATTTAATTTACGCATTAAAAACCATTTAAATCTTTTTTCAACATTTGTATATATTTTTTATTTATTTAATATGTTTCAAAAGTTAAACATTTTATTAATAATTTTTTTTTAAATTAATTAGGAGTTTTTTTTTACTTAAAAAGCGTTTCGATAATATAAAAGCATTTAAGATCAAACTTATTAAATTGTAATAGCTTTTTAAAACTTTTTTTAACAAAATTTTGTTTATCTTTTGAAATGCATCAACTTCCATTATTCTTATATTTAAGTTCGTTAAAGACTTTCACAGGCGTAGAATGTCATCGTTTATAAGAACAAAACAATTTTTTATTTTTTAATAACGTTTATTTTAAAAATGAACACTTGAACAATTTATATGTTATAAACTTAAAAAAATATATACAACTGTCAATTATATTTTAAAAAAAAAACATTTTCAATAAATTGTTACTTTATTTAAAATCGTTTCGCTAATGTAAAAACATTTGTTTAGAAATTTTGATGTAATTTATTTCACTTTTTTAGAATATTTTTCATTTAAAGCATTTTTAAAACGTTTTTTGAATTAGCCGCGGTCAAACCATCATAGCAAAATGTAATTTGTGTGGTCATATAAAGACATAAAATCGCAGGCCTTCCTGTGAAATCCTGTCATTAGAAATGCACAACCAGACAACCATTTTTTGGTTAATGGTTTTGGGGCCTTTTTTTTCATTCATTTTTCTAGCAATACAACCCTTCCTTTAACTCTTTTATAACCAGATTCATTTTTTATATTATAGTAGTCCAGGATAATAAAATTTGTAAAAAAAAATTCTGTAACGTTTTTTTTTTTTTTTTTTTTTTTTTTTTTTTTACAAAACTTAAAAGATATTTAAAAAAAGTATTAAATTTATACCAAAATAGATAATTTATGGGTGTACTATTTTTTATCTTTCAATTTTTTCATAAATTTCACAATTTTTATCAAACAACTTTTAACAGCATTGTACAATAGTTTTTTATTTATTGATATATTTTGAGGTCAAATATTTTAAATATTTTACTTGTTTAAATAGGTAATAACACTAATATGCATATCAGTATGGGCAATTAACATAGGTCATTTTAATGATCCGGTCCATGGTGGATCATGGGTGAAGGTAACTGTTTTTTAACTAATATTTTATATTAATAAGTTATATAATTGACTATTTTTTACTATTGTTATGATGCAAAAAATATTTTTAGCTTAAGTCAGAGTTTTTAAATAATTGTAATAATATGTTAAAAACTTTTTATTTTAGGGAGCTGTTTATTATTTTAAAATTGCTGTTGCATTGGCTGTTGCTGCAATCCCAGAAGGTCTTCCTGCTGTCATAACTACATGTCTTGCTTTAGGTAGTTCATGTGACTCAAAATTTGAGTCTTGATTTTTGCTTTTTTGATTGAGATTTTGAAATTGAATGTTTCAGTTTCTTTCTTAATTTTTAAACATGTTTTTATATAATATTTAATATTGTTATATTTAATACTGTGATATTTAATATTGTGGTATTTAGTTTATAATTAATTTAATACTGTGGTATTTAGTTTATAATTAATTTAATACTGAGATAATTAGTTTATAGTTAATTTAATACTGAGATAGTTAGTTTATAATTAATTTAATACTAAGATAATTAGTTTATAGTTAATTTAATACTAAGATAATTAGTTTATAATTAATTTAATACTGAGATAATTAGTTTATAATTGATTTAATATTTAGGCTTTAAACTGTTTTTGTGAATTTTTGTATAGGTACACGGAGAATGGCGAAAAAAAATGCAATAGTTAGGTCACTTCCCTCAGTTGAAACACTTGGTTGTACTTCAGTTATTTGTTCTGATAAAACTGGTACTTTAACTACAAATCAAATGTCTGTTAATAAAGTAAGCTTTTTCATTTAAAAGTATTTTGTTAATTTTTTAGAAATATATTCAACAATAAAACTTTTCATGTTTTGATTTTTTTAGTTTTTTATTATTTCACCTGATCAAAATTCATTTACTCATTTTGATGTCACCGGATCAACTTATGAACCTACTGGAAGCATGTTAGTCTTTTTGTTTATTTTGATGTTTAAAGTTTTGTCATAAATTATGTTTTTAGAGATTTTATGTTTTAATGTCTTAATGCATTTTAATATATACATTAAGGTGTCCCTTTTATAAGTGAAATTTTTTTTTGGATATGGAAATGCATACCCCATATTTCTTTTTAAACTAAATAGACTTACTTAAATATGATATTTTATCTTTCTACAACAACATTAACATTGCCAACTGAACTCTGAAGATTTTGAAAAATGCTATTTTTAACCCTTCCTGTTATGTACCTAAATCGATTGTAAGACTTCTATTTTATTCTATTTTCTGATCTTCTCGTTTTTCGGCTGATTTGCTAACAGTAAAAACCGATAAGTTTTATCGTGCATCAGATAAAGGTGGAGAGATTAAGGCCATTGCTCTTGACATATCTAAAGCGTTTGATAAAGTTTGGCATGCTGGCCTTCTCCATAAGCTTTCTTCTTACGGTGTATCTGGAAACATCTTTAAGATTATTGAATCCTTTCTTTCCAATCATAGTATAAAAGTTGTCCTTGATGGACAGCACTCTTCTTCTTATTCTGTAACCTCAGGGGTTCCCCAAGGTTCAATCCTTGGCCCTATACTCTTTTTAATTTGCATTAACGATCTTCCAGATACTCTCACATCTAAGGTGGCATTGTTCGCTGATGATACTACCATTTATTCTTGTCACGATAAGAAGCCAACTCCCTCTGATTACTTGCAGGGGGTATTTGAGCTTAAAAAGAATCTCACTTCTGCCACAGCATGGGGCTCACAGTGGCTGGTGAACTTTAATTCAGATAAAACTGAAAAAAAATTTTCAGCCAATTGTTATCGCAATCTAGACTTTCCTATATTTATGAACGGTAATGTATCGATGAGTCATCTACCCTTCATCTTCTAGGATAAACTCTCACTTCTGATCTTTCTTGGAAACCTTATATCAAATCTGTTGCAAAATTAGCACCTGCTAAAGTTGCATCTTTATCGAGCTCGACACTTTCTTACTCTGAATTCTATTCTTTATCTCTATAAATCTCAAATCCGACCTTGTATGGAATACTGTTGCCATATCTGGGGCGGATCTTCTAATGATGCCCTTACTCTTTTAGACAAGGTGCAAAAACGCATTGTAAACATAGTTGGACCTGCTCTTGCAGCCAACATTCAACCTCTGTCACATCGTCGTGATGTTGCTTCTCTTTCTCTTTTCTACAAATACTATAATGGGCACTGCTCTAAAGAGCTAGCGTCTCTTGTGCCATCTACTAAAATTCATTCTCGTGTTACTCGTCATTCAATTAAGTCTCATCCTTTTTCTGTTACTGTTCCTAAGTGCTCCAAAAACTCTTATTTGTCTAGCTTTTTTCCTCCAACACCAGTTCTTTGGAATTCGCTTCCTTCATCTTGCTTTCCTGATTCATATAATTTGCAATCTTTTAAGTCGTCTGTCAATCGTTATTTTGCTCTACAATCTTCATCTTTTCTCTTCCAATAACTTCCAACACTAATTAGTGGTTGCTTGCAGCCTTGTTGGAAGCGAAGATGTTAAAAAAAAAAAAAAAAACCTCCTAAGAAAACAACAGATAGTTCAATTATCACATGCAATTATTTTTTGCAGTTCTCAATTACAAAATGTCAACAATTCTTCAAATGTTGTTTGACGATATCAGTATATGTTTCAATAGCAGCCAGATTAATAGTTTTTTAGTTGTCTCTAAACTTTTTGAACATTGGGATATCAAAGTTACTTGTGACTTTTTGTCAACAAAAAATTAGCCAAAAAAGAAGCTAAACATCCTGGTTCTATTTTTGTATTTTTATCCGTCCCAAAGCATTAGCATGTGCTATATCAAATAAATTATCTAAGTTATTTTGAAAGTCCTCCTCACAGTAATCATATTGTTTTTTTTGGAATTTTTTTGTAATTCTCTTAAAGCATGGTAAAAATCTACAAATTTTTTTACACAGTTAAATGTAAAAAAACTTACAGGAGCTATACACAGTTATAGCTCTGGTAGGGATTCTAGCTTTTTCCCAAAAAACAATTCTTGAATACAAAGATTTGTACTTTCACTAACAGTCTATTTGAATGTTAAAAAAAAGTACTGCAAGAATTTGATGGTTAGACAGTGACTTTGCGTCTGTTATTTGATAATTTACATCACCAACTAAAAAAATATTTGCTTCTTAATTTCACTGCCGTTTCTACAAATGTAAAACAATATGTGTTAATCACGAGAATAACCGAATCAGGATTTTATAAAAGTGCGGATTTGCTTAAAGCAGTTTTTACAGCAAAATTGATAATAACTATCTATTTACAATTATTTTAAATAGATAATTATCTATTACTATTATCAATTATTATCATATTATCAGGATAATATTTATCTATTTTCAATTATAAATTTTGCATCATTGTAAAAACCATTTTGAGCATATCCATCCTTTTAACAAATAATATGAGTAAGCCCAACTATTGTGCAACTTGTGTGAACATGATTTGATGCTAGTCGGCACAGGTTATCGTACTCCAAATAAAGTAAAAATTTATTTTCGAGTGTTTTAGAAACAAATAAACAAAACTATGACCTATGCGTTAGAAAATAAAAAGTTTGAAAAATAAAAGACACCCTTATATATATATATATATATATATATATATATATATATATTATTGTCAAAAATATATATTTATATTAATATATAAATTTATTGTCATTTAAGTCAAACTTACTATTATTATTTTTTAAAGAACTGTTGATGGCAAGAAGATCAAGTGCAAAGATTATGAGGTTCTTAATGAGTTTGCAACAATATGTTCCTTGTGCAATGATTCTTCTTTAGAATATAACAAGGTATGTCTGTTAACCTTTTACATCTTGATATGTTTGTGCTTATGAGGATGAATTTTTAGATTTTTTGTTTTAATAGGCCAAAAACAGTTATGAAAAGATCGGAGAGCCAACAGAAGTGGCTTTATTTGTACTTGTGGAAAAGTTAAATGTTAACGAAATTGACTTAAAAAACTGTTCTGTTTCTCAACTAGCAAGTGCTTGTAATAAAAATCTAAGAGCGCATTTTAGTAAGGTAATTACTTTTTAATGTTTGTTTTTCTAAAATTAACTTGAATTAGAAAAAGAAAAAAATTATTATTGATAATAAATATATGCATATTTGGGTGTTTCATTTCCAACAATTTTTTGAAAATGGTTACGTTACATGCATAACAGGGTAAATAATGGGCCAAAAAAAGTCTGTAAATTTTTCAAAATTTTAAAATGTTATCTAGAGATTGCCATCTTGAAAAAATAGCGTTTTTTACACTTTTTTCAACTTTTACTTTTTAACTTAAAAAATAGTTTTGTTACGTTACTGGATGTATTTAATAAAGGTTATTAGATGAGCATTTAGTGAAATTTTCAGAAAAATTGGTTAAAGTCTAGAGATACACAACATTAAGTCTAGAGATATAAACAACACATGCTGTTACTTGTGAGAGCTTCTTTGCTGATATTTCGAGTGAATTTGTTAAAGGCATCTTTCTTTTCTTTAGTGGTAAAGGAGTAAACTCTGAATCTTTTTGATCTTCTTCATCAGCACTTTCAACTAATTCACTGACTTCAAGGGCACTCGATTTTTGATCTTTGGTTAACCTTCTCCGAAAATCCATGCTTAGTCTATCTTTTTGATATTTTAAAAATTTTGAAACACCTAGATCAATGCTACCTGTCATGTGATCTTCATAAAATGGCCCAATCTTCTTTCCATTTTGGTCTATGTGATAATAATAACTGTTCATATGCATTCACTGCTGAAATGTTGCAAAGTTGCTCCAGTTTATTACAAAATCTGACAATTTTTTCTTTTCCAGCTTTAACATTTCGACTTGATCAATTTTTTTATTTTCATCTTTTCCCCCCAACAATTTGGTAAACAATGAAAGACAAGAGTTATTTGATCCAATTAGTACTCCAGTTTTTCAAACTTTCTTAAGCTCACCAAGAACAAGTTTAAAAATATCTCTTGCAGAAGTGTTGCTTTTTGAATATAAATGTAAATAAGAGTATCTACCTAACATATGTATTTTTGTTGGTAGGCAACTGAAGCTTGATAATTTATTGGTTTCAGGGTAACCAAAAAACTAATCTTGATTATTTTTTCTAAGGTTCACTGTTATAATAAAATATTGGCTTATCCAATAAACTAGTTTTAAAATTTCAATTTTGCTAATTGATATAATAACCAACTTTTTTTAAATAAGTTTATGAAATTTATATACATACACTGCGACCATTTTCTATTGACGCATGTAGATTTTAGAGGATTTACAGTGTTACAGTGGTAATAAAATTATTGTAATGGTACTTTTGAATAAGTATATGTAAGAAAACAATGATCCATTATGCGTCTGATTATTAATTGTCTTGATTATATTAAAATAATTAAATTTTTAATATTCACATGGCAATTTTCTATAGACGCACTAAAGTTTTTACAAGTTTTTTTGCATATTCTGTAGTATTTTTTATTTTGTGAGTTGAAATTAAGTTGAACTTAACCAAATGCCAAAAAGAAAGGTCCTTACCGATATTGAAAAAGGTCAAATATTGGCTTTTCGTCGAGAAAAAGTTCCAAATTGAGAAATTACTAGAAGATTAAAGAGATCGGATCACGTTATCCGTAATTTCTTGAAAAATCCAACAGATTATGCAACAATCAAGAGGAAACCAAAGAAATCTAAGGTTTCATGCTTTAAAAAACACAGAATTGTTTAACTCTAATCAAATTCATCAAAAAATTTGAAAACAATAAAGTCAGATTTGGGTTTAAATGTTTGCAAGGACACGATTAGGAAAATTCTTAAAGACAGCCCACACGTTGTACGATCAAAAATGAATGAAGCACCAAATTTGAAACCTGTTCACAAACAGAAACGGATGGAATTCGCCTACGAAAACATGGCACGCGATTGGGAACAAGTAAGAAATTTTAGATTAAATTCTCATGGGTACACTAGATGTCTAAATAGCTGAATGTTTTTGTTTTCAATACCAGGTGATTTTTTTGGATGAGAAAAGGTTTAATCCTGATGGGCCTTATGGTTTTAGTGACTACTGACATGATTTGAGGAGAGAACCCAAATATTTTTCAACAAGGAATTTCGGTGGTGGATCTTTGATGGTTTGGCTTGAATTTTGTGCAACAGGAAACTAAATTTAACATTTACATCTTGCAAAATGAAAAGTTCTGAGCACATTGATGTACTAAAATCATGTTTGATTCTATTTAAAAACAAATATCGATGCGAAAAGTTTGTTTTTCAACAAGACAACGCCAGCATTCACACTAGTAACGAGACTAAAGCTTGGTTTGATGCTAAAAAGTTGAGCAAATGTGATGGCTGCTCGCAGTCCAGATTTAATCCTGTTGAAAATATCTGGGGAACCATTGTAAAACGTATCTATGCTGATCAGAAGCAATATAACTCTGTGGCAGAGCTAAAAGTAGCAGTATCAGAATGCTGGGAGGATATGGAGATAAAAGTGCTGGAAAACTTGGTGGGAAGTATACCAAAAGGAATTTATCAAGTAATTGAGCGCAAAGGAGTTCCAATCGAAACTAAAAATATGATGAAAACATTTTTTTTGATAGTTTAGTTAAAAAATGTGAACTGCGTCTATAGAAAATAGTCAGCTATCTTTTGAATTTAATTCATTTATGATTGATCTCTTTTCAAATTTGATATTATTTTTTGATATTTTTCATTATTTTTTGTTATTTTTCATTATTTTTTGATACTTTATTTATAATTTATTGAAATACACTGTCAAAGGAGTTTAAAATAATTAAGAATTGGAGTTTAAAATAGTTTAATTTTATAGGGAAAATGACTGTTTTGCCAAGCAGACCAAAGCACTATCATTATTAAAACAAAACATCTTCAAAAATGTTTTTAACTTACAAAAGGCAAAACTTTGAAAACTTATATTGTTTATTTATAAAAGTCTAGTTTTAAAGACCGCTTTATGAAGACATAAAAGTTTGCAGCCTAAAATGGTTTGAAAGTTCTAAAAGTCATTAATTCTTGAAAACTTAATATAACATTTTAGGACTTCACTATGGAGTTTTCAAGAGATAGAAAATCAATGGGCGTTTATTGCATACCAGCAACTAATTCACACCATTCACATCCAAAGATTTTTGTAAAAGGTGCTCCTGAAAGCTTAATTGAGCGATGCAATTTTGTGCGTGTTGGCAAAGATAAGATTCCAATGACAAAGCAACTTAGAGAAGGAATTCTCCAACAAGTGAATATTTATGGAACAGGTTTGAAAATTTCAACACTTTAAAAACATTAAAATTATATAACATAAAATCTTAGTTAATGTTTAACTTTTTTCATCGTGTAAATTACTGTTTATTACAAAGTTTATATTTATAAATGAATTAATTAGAAATAGAAAAAATACAAATAAAAGTTATAAAAAATAAATTAAAAAAAATAAAATAAAACAGTATTTAAAATAAAAAAAGAATTCAAGTAATTTGTATTGCAGAAGTAAAGTAATTTTTTTAAAATAAAGTTATTTAGAATGTGTACCTCTATTTTTAAGTAAAATAGTAGTTATTTAGAATATGTAACTCTATTTTTCAGGTAAAGATACATTGCGATGCCTTGCACTAGCTACAGTTGATGACCCAATATCAAAAAATGAAATGGACCTCACAGACTCTAAAAACTTCATCAAATATGAGGTAACTTATGGTTTAACTTGTTTTACATAATTTTTTAATTAAATAAAATCTTTTTTATTATGCAGTCTTTTTCAAATAATGTTTGTATACAATCAACAGAGAATAAAGTATTGAATCTATAAATTTTTTAAATGTTATTGAAAAATAAAGCAATCAGATAATTGATGAAATAAAACTTTATGTTATATATAAATTATTGTTCCATAAAAATGCCTAATGATAATAAATGTTAATACATTTTCTTATTCATCTCTCAAATGTTAAAAGGTCAATAGAGTGGGGGGGTGGAGAACTAATTTTTTTTCTTTGTGTGTGTGTTTGTTTATTATTCTTGATTATTCATTATTAGTTAACTATATATTTACTATATATAGTGAAATAAAATTTAATTGCTAAACTTTAATTTTAAAGAATTTTTTAATCAAATTTATCTTTATCAGTGTAATATGACCTTTGTTGGTGTTGCTGGAATGTTGGATCCCCCACGCACAGAAGTTCGTGATTCCATTAAAGAATGTTATGAAGCTGGTATTCGAGTCATTGTTATAACAGGTGACAATAAAGTAAGAGTTTATTTTTATTTAGAATTTTTCTGTTTTTAAAAATTTCATTATGTTAAATTCAAGTAAAATATGTTAGTAAATGTAATAAATAAAGTAACCTGAGTCATTATTCTATGAATAACTGAAATAAGGCTTATAGAATGAAATGTTTCCCACTATAGTTTACAGTACTTTAAACTTATTTAGAATACTGCAGAAGCAATTTGTCGACGAATTGGCGTTTTTAGTGAAAATGAAAGTACTAATGGAAAGTCATTTTCAGGACGTGAATTTGATGAATTGTCAGAAGTCGAGCAAAGAGAGGCTTGTAGAAATGCAAGGTAGAGTTGAATATTTTCAGAATGTAACAAAATTCTTTTAGTTTTTATTTATAATTACTTATATTTAATATATTCTAATACCTATAGCATGGTTGTAAGATCATTGACCACTTTTTAAAATAGGTGACTAGAGTCTAAGAAGAAAAGTGTACAATTAAAATCTTGTCTGTTAAATCTGATATTTTTACAGTTCATGTTCAAAACACTTATATTATTTTTTCCAAGAGCATCTATACATAATTATCTCCAAGAACATCTATACATAATTATCTCCAAGAACATCTATACATAATTATCTCCAAGAACATCTATGCATTATAATTATCTCTTTAAATCTTTTTCTTTTTTTTTTTTAACTTAAAAAAATGAAAAGGTGCTTATCAAAACTAGTTGTATTAGAGGGAGAGTTACTTAAGTTAAGTTATCTTGATCAAGCCTTTCCAAGAGGCGCGTGTGGTTTTTCTTGTTTGTCTGCAAAAAAAGTTTTTTATTTAGATAACCTGGTCATGGCTGTTTGCAAGTTTATACATTAACCGTTTCATTAATTTGCAACAAACACTAAGTTTCAAAAACAAAGAAAGCAAAACTAACAAAATAGAAAATTAAAATATATTAAAAATAAAACAAAAAAAACTAATAATTTTGAATACATATATGTAATGCATGTGTATATGTTAATATACACTCATATGATGGTTTGTTCATGTATGTATATTGTTCATAGATGTATCTACCTCATAGGCTTTATTTTCTACATCACTTTCTACATAAATTATATAATTAAATCTATTTGTTCATCATTATACACACATTTAGCTTTGGATTAGTTGTTTACTTCATACACAGAATGGCTGTGGTTCGAATCCCTTTGGTATCCTATTTTTTATTGTTTTTCTTGTAAATCTTGCTGCTCATATATTTTTTTGTAATCATTTATCTTTTCTTTATTGTAAATAAAAAATCTTTCTGTTGTATGTTTTTGAATGATACACATCTCTTCACATTCAGATTTCTTACACCATTTAAGCCTCTCAGTGTATTTTCTAAGTAAGAATATAATGTATATTAATCCTCTCAGTGTATTTTCTAAGGCGCACACACATAGTTTTTCAGCTTCAGTTATGCAATGCCGTCAACACATTTTTCACATAGCCTTAATTTTGTTTTATTTTACCTTTCTATTCCTGTACGTTTTTATACCCTATCTTTCATCTCTTTGTAATTTTGGATACCTGTTACTTTTTAACATTCAGCTCAGTGTGTTTAGTTCTACCTGCCCCCTCCCTTTTGGTCTACTATGTTATTGGTGAAATATACGTTAACAATTAGTAATAATAAATCTTTGCTTGCATTTTGTGCATTTATTACTGGACATTCATCTCCTGGACATGTCCAACATCTCTCTTTTACATTAATATAATCTTTTCTCCTTCTTCCATGAAACTCCTATGGCTGTATGCGTATGCGGCTGTACCAGGTGCTTTAGTAGACTAAAGCACCTGGTTATCGAGTTTGGTTGCAAATGATAAATGTTAATGTAACAAGTATATGTATATGTATTGCAAAAAAAAAAAAAATCTTGTGAAATACTCAATTTAATAACAACCACCTATAAAAAATGAAAATAAAAAGTGTAAACAAATTATTTAAATTATTGTTTTTGTTCTATTTAAATTTATTTTAATTTCCTATTTTGTTAGTTATGCTTTCTTTATTTTACTGCAAAGTAATGAAAATCTTAGTAAATAAAACTTGCAAACAACCATGACCAAGTTGTCTAAATAAAAAACTTTTTTGTGGACAAACAAGACAGAATGCGCGTTTCCTGAGAAGGCTTGTATATAGTAAATTTTTTGTCACCAATAAAAAACAAAAATATTTTTCAATTTGCTTAATGAGTTCATTTAGTGTCTTCAGAAAAGTAAATGTTGTTTATAAATTTTTTTCTTGTAAAGACGCATTTCAAAAATTCACTTAATAGTTTTAAATAGTAATACAAATTGGTTTTGAGTATGTTTAAAAGTATATGACATTTACTTTAGGGTAAATGTAAGATTTGCAACTAGGGTGTGAATGTCTGTTAGATTTGGTTGTAAAATATTTTTCTGTTTTAAAAAAGTTTTGAAAGAATTTCGAGTTTGCATATAAAGAGCTTCATAATAAAGGATAAATATAAAGATAATGGAAATTTAGTAGCAGGTGGAATAAGAAGAATTTATAGAATAAAATATTGCACAATATTTTCTATAAATAGAAATGTAGAAAGTATTGTGCAATATTTACAATAGTTATGATTTGATAGAATTTGTTTATTTAAAGTTAGTAAATTTTTAGATTGTTTTCAAGAGTCGAACCTTCTCATAAAAGTGCTATTATAGAGTACATCCAAGCTGATGGTGAAGTTGCAGCTATGACTGGTGATGGTGTTAATGATGCTCCTGCTTTGAAAAAGGCAAAGATTGGTAAAATCATTTATAATTTAAATTTAAAGAATTAAGAAAAATTAAGCATTGTTGCTTTTTTGGACACAATGTTTTAGACTCTTAATTAGGGGTGTGCTAAAATTTACAGAAATATATAAAAATATGTAAAAAAAAAAATATTGATAATATAGTATAGCTCCTCTAAAACTAAATCAAAAAATTATTATAACAAAAACTTCTAATATATTTTATTAAAATTTATATATTGTTAATAAATAACAGCTTCTAATTTGTTGTTTTAGTTTTTGATTTGTGAGTCCAACCAGATTATAAGAAAATTTAAACTATCAATAATTAGAAACTTATAGTTAAAAACAAGCAATAATGCTAAATTTAAACT